ACCCATAAACCCCCCACAAACCTACCTCGCTACCCCGATGCATGTCACCCATAAACCCCCCACAAACCTACCTCGCTACCCCGATGCATGTCACCCATAAACCCCCCACAAACCTACCTCGCTACCCGATGCATGTCACCCATAAACCCCCCACAAACCTACCTCGCTACCCCGATGCATGTCACCCATAAACCCCCCACAAACCTACCTCACTACCCCGATGCATGTCACCCATAAACCCCCCACAAACCTACCTCGCTACCCCGATGCATGTCACCCATAAACCCCCCACAAACCTACCTCGCTACCCGATGCATGTCACCCATAAACCCCCCACAAACCTACCTCGCTACCCCGATGCATGTCACCCAGATGCCAGATTGTGCAGGTTTACCCCAAACTGTCAGAATTGTAAGTTCCCGGCCTTGTCCTGATGGAAGGCCTACTTCCCACAGAGATCCAGGAGGACAAACCTCCGAGGTGCCGGACTGGAGACATCTACACAATGGGGCTGATCTACTAAAGGCAAACAGGCCATTCACGCTGCAAAGGAAATTGGGCTTTGTATGGGAGGAGCTGAAACTTCACTTTACAAAGAAGACCCAATCAGGGGCAAGGAAAATAAAATAAAAGCAGGTTGTTTGAATATGATTGGAGCAGACACCACATTCACTAAGCTGAGGGAGAGTGAAGAGTCAGCTGACCTCAGTGGGCGGAGCACCCCTTTAATCACAAAGAGGACCCTCAGACATTATTGTAATGACTTCCCATAACCCCCTGCAGAATAGGATTCCAGCAATGGAAGCCAGTCAGCTTTTGCTGTTTCATACTGCTGGGTTTCTAACATGTTTCAGTTCCTGAGAGATGAAGGGGGAGGTGTTTAGAGACTGTAGGCTAGATGGGGCCGGAGGTGCTTAATTAAGGGCCACAGGAAAGACCTCATTAGGATGACAACGCTCATCTGTAGCCCAATGAGCAGCCTGGAGGTGGGGAGGTGACACAGGAAGCTGCTGAGGTGGCGGCACCCTCTGGTTACGCAGTGTGGCAGGCTGATTGGACCACCAGAATGATGACATAGCACTCGCCATGTATGTACTTCAGTTGTGTACGGAGCTGTTTGGATGGAATTGGTCTAAAAGTCCAAGCAATTATTTCCCAGCTGAGGCCGTGATTGGCCATTTCTTCCACAATGACAGGTGCTCAGGCTAGGAGTGGCCCGGCTCGATCTGTGAACATGTTCTGCGGTTTGGGTGATGATGCTCTAAACAGGATGTGGTTTTGGAGACACTAGCTTGAGCTTCCTCTAAACCTTCGATCAGAACATTCACAGCAGAAATGGTGCAGGAGGAGTTAGTGCAACGCTCTTCACGTCAAGGCTGCTAATCATTTCTGTAACACAACTGCTTCCTCTACCAGACCACTTCCTTTACACATCAAATTTCTCTTCTAATCTGTACAAAGTCGGTGAGCTGCGCCCTGCCGTCGCAGCGGGTGGAAGGTATGGGCCGCTCCCCGTGGGCTTGGTGACTCCAACTGAAGTCTGAACTCTGCCGCCATGTCCCGAGCCATGAAGGCCAAGCAGAAGGTGAAGAAGAAGACGGTGAAGGACAAAGTCTTTGGGTGTGATTTGGTGGAACATCTCCAACTCTCAGGCCAAGAAGGTAAGTCACAGTTATGTCAGCTGGAAATGGAAGAGGATGACTGAGGATGAGGATGAAGGGAAGAGTAAGGCTGGCGACTCATATTTCTACTGGATGGAGAAACCCATCCACTGGTCACCAGCCATCACATAATGACTTAAATACACCCAGACAACGCAGGCCCCAATCACTGAGAGCAGACATGACCCGAGAACCCAGACAACGCAGGCCCCAATCACTGAGAGAAGACATGACCCGAATACCCAGACAACACAGGCCCCAATCACTGGGAGCAGACATGACCCGAGAACCCAGACAACACAGGCCCCAATCACTGAGAGCAGACATGACCCGAGAACCCAGACAACACAGGCCCCAATCACTGAGAGCAGACATGACCCGAGAACCCAGACAACACAGGCCCCAATCACTGGGAGCAGACATGACCCGAGTACCCAGACAACGCAGGCCCCCAATCACTGAGAGCAGACATGACCCGAGAACCCAGACAACGCAGGCCCCAATCACTGAGAGAAGACATGACCCGAATACCCAGACAACACAGGCCCCAATCACTGGGAGCAGACATGACCCGAATACCCAGACAACACAGGCCCCAATCACTGAGAGCAGACATGACCCGAGCAGACATGACCCGAGAACCCAGACAACACAGGCCCCAATCACTGAGAGCAGACATGACCTGAGTACCCAGACAACACAGGCCCCAATCACTGAGAGCAGACATGACCTGAGTACCCAGACAACACAGGCCCCAATCACTGAGAGCAGACATGACCCGAGAACCCAGACAATGCAGGCCCCAATCACTGGGAGAAGACATGACCCGAGAACCCAGACAACGCAGGCCCCAATCACTGAGAGCAGACATGACCCGAGAACCCAGACAACGCAGGCCCCAATCACTGAGAGCAGACATGACCTGAGTACCCAGACAACACAGGCCCCAATCACTGAGAGCAGACATGACCCGAATACCCAGACAACACAGGCCCCAATCACTGAGAGCAGACATGACCCGAGTACCCAGACAACACAGGCCCCAATCACTGAGAGCAGACATGACCCGAGTACCCAGACAACACAGGCCCCAATCACTGGGAGCAGACATGACCCGAATACCCAGACAACACAGGCCCCAATCACTGGGAGCAGACATGACCCGAGAACCCAGACAACACAGGTCCCAATCACTGAGAGCAGACATGACCCGAATACCCAGACAACACAGGCCCCAATCACTGGTAGTAGTCATGACCCGAGTACCCAGACAACGCAGGCCCCAATCACTGGGAGCAGACATGATCCGAGTACCCAGACAACACAGGCCCCAATCACTGGTAGTAGTCATGACCCGAGTACCCAGACAACGCAGGCCCCAATCACTGGGAGCAGACATGATCCGAGTACCCAGACAACGCAGGCCCCAATCACTGGTAGTAGTCATGACCCGAGAACCCAGACAATGCAGGCCCCAATCACTGGGAGTAGACATGATCCGAGTACCCAGACAACGCAGACCCCAGTCACTGGGAGTAGACATGATCCGAGTACCCAGACAACGCAGACCCCAGTCACTGGGAGTAGACATGATCCGAGTACCCAGACAACGCAGACCCCAGTCACTGGGAGTAGACATGATCCGAGAACCCAGACAACACAGGCCCCAATCACTGGGAGCAGACATGACCCGAGAACCCAGACAACACAGGTCCCAATCACTGAGAGCAGACATGACCCGAATACCCAGACAACACAGGCCCCAATCACTGGTAGTAGTCATGACCCGAGTACCCAGACAACGCAGGCCCCAATCACTGGGAGCAGACATGATCCGAGTACCCAGACAACACAGGCCCCAATCACTGGTAGTAGTCATGACCCGAGTACCCAGACAACGCAGGCCCCAATCACTGGGAGCAGACATGATCCGAGTACCCAGACAACGCAGGCCCCAATCACTGGTAGTAGTCATGACCCGAGAACCCAGACAACGCAGGCCCCAATCACTGGGAGTAGACATGATCCGAGTACCCAGACAACGCAGACCCCAGTCACTGGGAGTAGACATGATCCGAGTACCCAGACAACACAGGCCCCAATCACTGGAACGGCCAACAAATGGGGTCATAGGGACCTGGAGGGTCCACCACTCAGCTCAAAGCCACTTGCAAGTGTAGGCACCATGATCACAGGAACCTGGAAGGGCAGACAGTGGGGTCAAAGGCACTTACAAGGGCAGGAACCTGGAAAGGGGAATACCTGGAACTGTAGATCATTATATGATGAGCACCTAGAAGGGACAGCATTGGATTCACAGGTCCCTGGAAGGGGCAGGATTGGGTTCACAGGTCCTTGGAAGGGGCAGGATTGGGTTCACAGGTCCTTGGAAGGGGCAGGATTGGGTTCACAGATCCTTGGAAGGGGCAGGTTTTGGTTCATAGGTCATTGTTAGGGGCAGGATTTTGTTCAAAGGTCCCTGGAAGGGGCAGGATTGGTTTCACAGGTCCTTGGAAGGGGCAGGATTGGGTTCAAAGGTCCTTGGAAGAGGCAGGATTGGGTTCACAGGTCCCTGGAAGGGGCAGGATTGGGTTCAAAGGTCCTTGGAAGAGGCAGGATTGGGTTCACAGGTCCTTGGAAGGGGCAGGATTGGGTTCACAGGTCCCTGGAAGGGGCAGGATTGGGTTCAAAGGTCCTTGGAAGAGGCAGGATTGGGTTCACAGGTCCTTGGAAGGGGCAGGATTGGGTTCACAGGTCATTGTTAGGGGCAGGATTGGGTTCACAAGGTCCTTGGAAGAGGCAGGATTGGGTTCACAGGTCCTTGGAAGGGGCAGGATTGGGTTCACAGGTCCTTGGAAGGGGCAGGATTAGGTTCACAGGTCCTTGGAAGAGGCAGGAATGGGTTCACAGGTCCCTGGAAGGGGCAGGATTGGGTTCGCTGGTCCTTGGAAGGGGCAGGATTGGGTTCACAGGTCCCTGGAAGGGGCAGGATTGGGTTCACAGGTCATCGTTAGGGGCAGGATCGCGGGATTTCCACAGGTTACACCCAGTATATATTTTTCTGGCACTGACATGGTGCTGATCAGTTCCTCAGGTTCTGAAGAGCTGCACGGAATTCGTGGAAGAACATGGCATTGTGGACGGCATTTATCGGCTGTGTGGCATTTCCTCCAATGTACAGAAATTACGGTGAGTCCTGGGGATGGACACTGGTCATGTGACATGCGTTTTGGGTTTTACATCACATGACATCACGTGTTTTCCTACAGACAAGAATTTGACTTGGAGCGACCTCCGGATCTAAACAAGAGTCCCTACCTACAGGACGTCCACTGTGTCAGCTCCTTGTGCAAGGCTTACTTCAGAGAACTGCCCAACCCGCTGCTCACCTACCAACTCTATGACAAGTTTGCTGTGAGTATCCCCCCCTCCCCCTCCAATCTCCTACATCACTACAATGTTCAACCACCAGGTCCCCCAAGCATGGCAATACTCATCAGCTCCGGAATCTCTATGTCTTCCAGTGACCTCACCTTCTAAATAGCCCTGAGTGAATGCCCCTGTTGTGTTCCCAGAAGTTAGCTCCACCCTATCTGAGCCTGCTATAGGCCCACCCACACACACACACTGGAGCACAGAATCATGTAACATAAGGCTGCAGCCCCGTAGCCCTCAATCTGGCCATCATGGATTACATAACCTTTAAATGAAAGTGCATTGAATGGACTTCATGACTTTAGCACAGCTGCTGCATTTCCTGGATAACATCCACTAACACCAGCTGCCTTCAATTGAAATGATCCAAAACTAGAATGTGATTAGTTGTGACTTCCTATGGACTTCATCAGTAAAGATGGGAAGAGTTTGTGATTGACCAAAACTCAGAGGGGTAACATCCAATGAACAAGCAGATACTGACCACATTCACCAACATATGCAAATTCCTCTAGAAGCCAATTACTTGATCATGGACTCTGTGTAGAGGCTCCGACCTTCCGGAACAGGGTGTGGAGCTGGACAATCTACACCTACATCCTTCCCACTGCCTTCAGCCCACATGTTCAGTAATATAGACCAGTCTAGAGCCAGGGTTTCCAAACTGCCACCTGTGAGACATTGGCCCCCAACAAGATTTCATCTCCTCAATGTGCCCAGAGGGTTCCGGCCAGCAGAGGTGTCCTATGGTCTCTGCTTCACAACCACCTGCAGTCTCCAGCACTGGTTCCCCTGCTGCATTGTCATCAATGGGGACAGGGACCCTGATCTAAGAGAGAACCATTCATTTATAAAATGTATTTTTTTTTTAGCCAGCAAACATTTGTACTGAAACGTTTGAAGACCCCTGGCCTAGAGCAGCCATTCTGAGGGTTCCTCCAGAGGTTCTAGGGGCTTTCTTCTTCTCTCATCTGATAGTCCGAGGGCCAACAACTCTTAGTGGAGCCAGAGGCACAGTGCCAATGATCATCTCAGATGTCTCTAAGGCCTGGAAAACACTGTGAGGTTTTCTTCATTCAACCAGCGGGCCCAGATTTCTGCATCCAGATGAGCGGGGTGGACGAAGGCATCCTCACCACTTTGAGGACCATAAATGTAAAAGTCAGCTGGGATGTGACATAACCTGTAGTGTGATTTTAGATACAGTTTAATTCGATGCCGTCAAAGCATTAACCATAATACAGTAACCTCCTAATGCATTATCAATGGTAGAAAGATGGTCCCAGACAGGGGCGGACTGACCATTTGGAAACTTGGGCACTGCCCGAGGGCCCGGGGTCAGTAGGGGGCCCCATGAGATGCCCCTTGTACCTTTTTCATAGGCTTTTTTGAGTTTGGGCAAGGACACAGGGGCCCCATGATCTCCTATTGCCCAGGGGTCCCATGAGTTGTCAGTCCACCCCTGGTCCCAGATGAGAATGTGAGAGAACAGACCTGGAGACCAGAACTGACACTTAGGGGCCAATGACCTCCTCACATCCTTGTAGGTATAGATAATGAAAGTGAACGGTCACCTCCCTGAGTCTCAGAGGGCAGTCCTAGACGTTTCATCTACAAGTCCAGCCAGGGATGAGGCCAATACAGTGAGAAGGCCCCGAACTGTCTGTCTGCCACTGATTTATGTCAGAGATCAGAGGAATCTATTGGATCTCTCATAAAAACTAAAATACCAGTTACAGAGAGATGGAAAAATTCCTTCTGATCGTATACGGTTTGGGTACATATAAAATTGTAGCGTGTATAGAATTTATAAGAGATCCACAAAACGGTTATATGGCGCCTGATCACGACGGTCAAGAGGTGATTGGTCTTGTTGCAATTGGACTGACGCACTGGTGTCAGAAATCCGACCCAGCCATCAGAACCATTCATGGCCCATTTAACTCTGGTCCCTTCAAAATACAGAACCATCCTGTGGGCTGAGGAGGGAACACCCTTCAGGGATGATTGGCTGAGGGTTAGAGGCCCGCCCACATCCATATCTCAGATAAATGGAGGACCCTGAGATGTGGACGGGGTGATTCACATGGAGCCGGCCTGACTGGTGAATTGCAGTCGTTCTGACACGCTCCTGTCACACGACAAACCTCAGTACAGTTTATTTCTGTTTTTTATCCCTTTTAGTTTCATAACCAAACTGTGTATGTTCTTTGTTGTATTTTTGTAATTCTTTTTCTTTGTATATATTTTATGCTCCGCCCACTTTTGGGATATTAAATTATAAAATGAATAAGTGTTTTCTGCGTGCTAAGCTCAGACTCGTATCCCTGGAGAGTTTGTTGTATTGGAGGGTCTACGTTCATCACTAATCTGTATGTCATTGTACTGTGTGTTGGCAGATTGTAAGCTAACAGATCTGCCAGACGGAGATCTGTGGGTGTGTTGTGGCCTAGCAGACCAGTTAGTGGACACATCGCTAGGTGGTGGTAAGTTACCATGACTGGTGTGTCTGGTGTGTCTGGTGTGGACAGTGGAAGAGTGATGGACATGGGGGTTGTAGCTTGTAGGATAGCTGGAGGAATCCTGGAGGTGTGTACTAATTGCTGGACTGCTCCCCAACCCATAGAAGGCACCGGATTGGATGTAAGATTTGTATATGACTGAGAGTGCAGTCTCCCTGTACTGGTGGCCAGAGGTGGTGTGGGCTGTGGAAAGGGTATCACAGCCAGTCTTATGTGCTCAAAGTAAGCTCCTCCCCCACATTCCCTCCTACCCCAGTCAAGGGCCACGCACCCAGCTTAAGGGGTCCTTTGTCCCACTGACCTCTGATGAATAGATTTTAGCAGGGTTCCCTGAAGCCTGAACATTATTTCAAGGGTTCCTCCGGGGTAAGAAGGTTGAGAAAGGCTGATCTAGAGAAACTCTCCTGATAAAACCTCAAAGAGGGAAAAGAATAGGTGTCATCACATCACAGTAACAAAACATGTTTGTATCTCCTACTGAAGGACGCGGTGGCCATACAACTGGAAGAACAACGATTAATAAAGATCAGAGATGTGTTGAAGGAGCTTCCTCTTCCCCATTACAGGTACAGTCCCAGCCTTACCAGCACATTGTCTCTCTGACCTCCATCTTAAATCAAGGGAAATGTTCCACTATTAGGACGTGTCGTCCACATGTACAACATGCTCTTCAGTGCCTCATATGTGCAGCAACGTATGCATTAAAAATGATTGAAAAAGTCATTGTTGTCAGGAGGATCTGTTGCTATGTGAGCACATTGTCCAGGGGTGGCATTTGCCTGATCGGCTTTGGTTGGGTTGCTCCACTGATTATGATTGTTTTCAGAAGAACCCGCTAAACTGGCTCAATGTGGACTATAATGTCCTCTAAGATCCATCATCTGCATCAACCCTAATTCAGGGACTCGGGATCAGTCCTGAAAATATATTTTACAAACTAAACTTTTCAGTGAGATCTTGTCTATGTGATCGCTTCCTGCACCTTCCTCTTATTAAATACATTATTATGTGTATCTAACAGGACTCTGGAGTATCTCATGAAACACCTGATCCACGTGGCTTCCTTCAGCGCACAAACCAACATGCATGCCAGGAACCTGGCCATTGTGTGGGCACCGAATCTGCTGAGGTAAGAAGGATCATCAAGTCCACTTCTGTTATATGGCTCACCTTTCATGGTCAGGTCCCCCATCCATAGAGGTTGTTCCTCCACCAGCTCTACACTCAGGAATTGTTTCCATGCACTAATTCTAGAAAGATAAAGAATGGAAACAAAGGTCATCAGTCATGGATCAAATCGTTTGCACTTGGCTTCTAACAGAGCAATGTTTTTCCTGAGATCATACAGAATTGGACCGATTCCTCTAATGATTGGCATTTCTGTGCAGGTCCAGGGACATCGAGTCATCTGGGTTTAATGGCACCGCAGCATTCATGGAGGTCCGAGTCCAGTCTATTGTGGTGGAATTTATTCTGACCCACGTGGAGCAGTTATTTGGAAATGGGTCAGCAGACGGTGAGTATATAGGTGGTAATGGCATTGTTCAGTATTTGAATTATTCACTATTGATGTGAGAATATTCATTCAGAAGCCTCTAAATCGGGGTGTCCAGCCCATGGGTGGCCCAAGACGGCTATGAATGCAGCCCAAAATCATAAATTACTCAAAAAGTTGATTTTTTTTTGGACTTTTTTGTAAAAATGTGTTTACACTTAATGAACACATTCAGCCAAAAAAAAAATTGATGGTGTCTCTTTTCTGGACTTTTATAAGTTTTATCTTCCCAAAGAAAAATCTGCCACCCTTCACAATCGCTCCTCATTCATGTCATCAGCTTTTAAGCATCAATATTTGTGAGGATGAAGAACACGAAGGGCAAAGTTAGAGCCAAAATATCTGAGGAGCACCTTGTGAATTCATTGAGAATTGCTCCCCCATCCATCCAACCAGATATTGATGTGTTGGTTATTGTCAGACATCGCATTAGTTTTATGTTCCCTCTTTTACTTTCATAATAAAAAATATTACAAAAAGAATGCAGTTTTATTCCTCAGATACAGTAGGTCCATTATATCAGTGATCGGTACATTGTGATCTGCTCATCAGCTCTCATTGTTAGTGTGTTCTATGCGTGGCTCAAGATAATTCCTCATCTTCCACCGGGGCCTAGGAAGGTTGGAAGGTTCGGATTGTCTCCCTCCCGGGCCCGTGCTCCCCACTATCATGTGCAGTGATACATTTTATGTTTGTTAACAGGAAACCTGAACAGTCCTTCAGCTATGAACTGGGCAACGTGTGTTCCTGAGGACTATTATCGCTCTTTGTCATACAACCTACCAAGCATGTTGAACCACGGTGATGGTCCTCCACAGATACGACCGTACCACACAATCATAGAGTTCTCAGATCATAAGTAAGTCATCATATCAAATCTCTGACTAGGGTCTCTGTAAGCATAATCCACTCCTCAATGTATTCCTTCAACATACAGTCCTACTGGTGACCAGGTGCTGCTCCCATCCCCAGGTGAGGCACGTGTTCTCGGTGATATCTACGAGATGTAAATCGCTCTACGGGATAGAAATTAAGGGGTGTTACCCCAATACACATATATGGATGGTAATTCTGTGGATTAAATGTTGTGTGGACTGTAAGGCTCTGGTGCATTGTGTATATGCTTGGCATCTAAAGGAAGGTCCAAGAACTTGCTTGTCCATCAAATCATATAATCTACATCTAACCAAAGTAAGATGGCTGCAGCCATATATCTGCGCAACCAGCCTCAACATGGCACTTAGCAACCAGAACTACCACACTTAGGTGTGCTTACCCTGGAAAGCTCCTTGACAATCAGGTCAACAGCAACGATGTAGAGAGTGCTGGCCATTCCTGATACATGTATGTCTCTTGGGAAGTACCGGGGTTCCTCAAGTCCCACTGCCAAGAATCTCAAGGGTTTGTTACTGTCTCCTTGACTCCAACTTCAACAGACATCACTGCTTACACCACCAGGGCGTTCATTAATTTCCTCAAGACCAGCGGTATAATTACTACGAGGCATACAAGGCGTCTGTCTAGGGTGGCAATTTCCCCGGAAGAAGGGAGACTAGTGGAAGGGATGGGGACCAGGTCAGCTATGTCATGAGATCTGGAGGAGGTAGTGATGGAGGGCGCGGGGATGGCTGCTCCTTTCATTGCGGATGTTAAGGTTAGTCGGGTGGATTGGGTGGTCATGGTAGGTAGGAGGAGTGTGTGAGGGGGAAGGGGGTGGATGGGATGGGCTATAGTGGCAACAGTGGGGGGGTGCCCGATTGTAGTGTTGTCTAGGGCAGCACAGGAACTAAATACACCACTGCTCAGGCCTACATCGTAAGGAATCACAGAAGGTGTGCACACGATTCTCTCACATGTACATGGTTTTCCGGGGCCACTGGAAATCAACCTATGCCTATGTCTATGCCTATGCCTATGTCAAGCAAACTACCTACCTACTCCACCCTGAGGTGTCTATAGCACCACCCAGCACTCGCTCTGACCACCACATTCATACTTTACCACAACATTGACGTAGTAATGACTTCATTCACCTGTTTGCAGGAGGAAGGGCTCCTTAAAGGCCAAGAAATGGAAATCCATCTTCAACCTTGGCCGATCCAATAATGACTCCAAGCGCAAGTCAACAAAGCAGGATGAGAAAGGTTTGGCTCCTCCCTCTTTGCATTACTTATCATACATTTGCTTTCTACATGAGGTAGAGATGAGGAATTGTAGGAAATGCTCTGATTTGATGAATATAAGATTTATGAAATAAAAACATAAAGATCTCCACTCAAATAACAAAGAAATAGCAGAACCCCGAATGTAATATTATACAAACACAGACCTGTCTCCCCCAGATACCGACTCTTCATTCATAGATTGTACTAAAGTCCCCCCCCCCACCAGGAAATCCTATTACAGAGAGCAATGGGACATCTACAACACCGTCCCTCAACAGTGCCACCCCAAGACGTATCTCCTTCATCAAGGAAACATTTGGCCGATTGTTGCCGTATATAATCCATCCAAACTCCTGTCCTACCACCTCCCCCACCAGTCTAGACCCCTGTGCCACCAAATCTAACACCTACCCCACCAGTCTAGACCCCTGTGCTACCAAATCTAACACCTACCCCAGTCTAGACCCCTGTGCCACCAAATCTAACACCTCCCCCACCAGTCTAGACCCCTGTGCCACCAGATGTAACACCTACCCCACCAGTCTAGACCCCTGTGCTACCAAATCTAACACCTACCCCACCAGTCTAGACCCCTGTGCCACCAAATCTAACACTAACACCTACCCCACCAGTCTAGACCCCTGTGCCACCAAATCTAACACCTACCCCACCAGTCTAGACCCCTGTGCCACCAGATGTAACACCTACCCCACCAGTCTAGACCCCTGTGCCACCAGATGTAACACCTACCCCCACCAGTCTAGACCCCTGTGCTACCAAATCTAACACCTACCCCACCAGTCTAGACCCCTGTGCCACCAAATCTAACACTAACACCTACCCCACCAGTCTAGACCCCTGTGCCACCAAATCTAACACCTACCCCACCAGTCTAGACCCCTGTGCCACCAGATGTAACACCTACCCCACCAGTCTAGACCCCTGTGCCACCAGATGTAACACCTACCCCACCAGTCTAGACCCCTGTGCCACCAAATCTAACACCTACCCCACCAGTCTAGACCCCTGTGCCACCAAATCTAACACCTACCCCACCAGTCTAGACCCCTGTGCCACCAAATCTAACACCTACCCCACCAGTCTAGACCCCTGTGCCACCAAATCTAACACCTACCCCACCAGTCTAGACCCCTGTGCCACCAAATCTAACACCTACCCCACCAGTCTAGACCCCTGTGCCACCAAATCTAACACCTACCCCACCAGTCTAGACTCCTGTGCCACCAAATCTAACACCTACCCCACCAGTCTAGACCCCTGTGCCACCAAATCTAAAACCTACCCCACCAGTCTAGACCCCTGTGCCACCAAATCTAACACTAACACCTACCCCACCAGTCTAGACTCCTGTGCTACCAAATCTAACACCTACCCCACCAGTCTAGACCCCTGTGCCACCAAATCTAACACCTACCCCACCAGTCTAGACCCCTGTGCCACCAAATCTAACACTAACACCTACCCCACCAGTCTAGACCCCTGTGCCACCAAATCTAACACTAACACCTACCCCACCAGTCTAGATCCGTGTGCCACCAGATGTAACACCTACCCCACCAGTCTAGATCCCTGTGCCACCAGATGTAACACCTACCCCACCAGTCTAGACCCCTGTGCCACCAGATGTAACACCTACCCCACCAGGCTGGACTCCTGTGCCACCAAATCTAACATCTACCCCACCAGTCTAGACCCCTGTGCCCCCAAATCTAACACTTAACACCTACCCCACCAGTCTAGACCCCTGTGCTACCAAATCTAACACTAACACCTACCCCACCAGTCTAGACCCCTGTGCCACCAAATGTAACACCTACCCCACCAGGCTGGTCTCCTGTGCCACCAAATCTAACACCTACCCCAACAGGCTGGAGCCTGTGCCACCAAAACTAACACCTACCCCACCAGTTTAGACCCCTGTGCCACCAAATCTAACACCTACCCCACCAGTCTAGACCCCTGTGCCACCAAACTAACACCTACCCCACCAGTCTAAACCCCTGTGCCACCAAATCTAACACTTAACACCTACCCCACCAGTCTAGACCCCTGTGCCACCAAATTTAACACTAACACCTACCCCACCAGTCTAGACCCCTGTGCCACCAAATCTAACACTAACACCTACCCCACCAGTCTAGACCCCTGTGCCACCAAAACTACACTAATACCTACCCCTCCTGTCTAGACCCCTGTGCCACCAAATGTAACACCTACTCCTCCAGGCTGGACTCCTGTGCCACCAAATCTAACACCTACCCCACCAGTCTAGACTCCTGTGCCACCAAAACTAACACCTACCCTACCAGTCTAGACCCCTGTGCCACCAAATCTAACACCTACTCCACCAGTCTAGACCCCTGTGCCACCAAATGTAACATCTACCCCACCAGGCTGGACTCCTGTGCCACCAAATCTAACACCTACCCCACCAGTCTAGATCCCTGTGCCATCAAACCTAACACCTACCCCACCAGTCTATACCCCTGTGCCACCAAACCTAACACCTACCCACCAGGCTGGACCCCTGTGCCACTAACTCTAACACCTACCCCACCAGGCTAGACCCCTGTGACACCAAATATAACACCTACCCCACCAGGCTGGACCCCTGTGCCACCAATTCTAACACCTACCCCACCAGGCTAGACCCCTGTGCCACCAATTCTAACACCTACCCCACCAGGCTGGACCCCTGTGCCACCAATTCTAACACCTACCCCACCAGGCTGGACCCCTGTGCCACCAATTCTAACACCTACCCCACCAGGCTAGACCCCTGTGCCACCCAATGTAACACCTACCTCACCAGCCTAGACCCCTGTGCCACCCAATGTAACACCTATCCCACCAGCCTAGACTCCTGCGTCATTGCGTCATCAAACTTAACACCTATTCGACCAGTTCAGAGCCCTGTGCCATCATCTCTAGTGCCTACCCCACCTCCTAAACCAATCCCAACTCCAAATACCCTGTGCTCCTGTCCCAACATCTTTAACTCCAATGTCACTTACATCATTTACATTTATGAAGATCTCTATGCCACCAACAGCAGCCTGAAGTCCCTGATACAGCAAACTAAACATACTTTCTACAAGTTCAAACTCCTATGCCATCAACCTAAACACCATTTTCAGTACCCTAGACACCTATCCTACCAATCCCCAAAACTCTTCCTCCAGCCTGGACTCCCCCGTACACCAACTTAAACACTTATCCCACCAGCCTGGGCTCCTGCTCCACCAATCCTAACATGTCTCCCATAGGCCCAGAAACCACACCCTCTTACGGGCTGCTAGTACACCAATCTTAACACCCCATCAACTAGCCTAGAAGCCCGTTTAACTAACTCAGCCACCTCTGCCATCAGCTGAAGACTTTTCTCAATGATCTGCTATCATAACAAGGTAAAGGAGAACCTTCCTTGATGGAGGGACCTACCTAAGAAGTTCCCCCAGTTCTCCACTAGCAGCTCAAACAATGTTGACACTTTCAGAGATTCATCTTGAAGGAATGGCCGCTGCCATGGAAAATGAGGTCTTCTTCACAAGTATCCAATTCGTGAAAGAATCAAGATGTGTTGCCATACAACTACTCCATATACCATGAAGGTAGAATAGCCTCTGCAAGCATTGGCA